ACGTGATACTTCAATCAAGCATACTAAGTAAGCTTAACGGTTATAAAAAGGGACGAATGGGATTTCTGAGTTTGTTCAGCTTGGGGCTGAGGGTAAACCGACGACATTGACGATTCATGATTCGCGGTTGCTACAGCTGATGCAGATGGCAGGGGTGGAGTAGGGGAGGGGTACATATACACAATAATATCGCACTCTCCCTGCAATCATTCAGTCAGTCGGCCAAGTCAGTCAATCAATCAATCAGTCACTACCCGCAGCATAGCCTATCCCTACCGCCGCGGTTTCTTCCACGGGAGTCGAAGAAATAGAGGAAGAAACAAGCAAGGTAATAATGCCTCTGCACGGACTCGGCCACCATCGCTCTCACTCGAGCGGGACTCCTGACGTTCCCCACCAGAAACCGCTCGCTTCGCTTGTCCAGGCTGCATCGCAGGCTTTTGGTGGAGTAGGAAACCCCGCCGTCACAGCGAAGCAACAACCGCAATCCCAACCGCAGCCACAACCACAATCACAACAACCACCATTACAGAAGCAGAGGCCAAACCAGAACCAGGTCAACCAGAACCTCCGTGTACAGACTTCTACCTCCGCTTTCCTCTCTGGCGCTTCGCCCGGAGGCAACAACTCGGCCACCACCCCAATCCATTCAGGCGGCTCCTCCATCGTCATATCTCCCGACGCCAACTCTGACACCATCTCGCCGCCAAAGAAGAAGTCTATCTCTTTTCGACTCCCGTCGCCGAATACCCAAACGTCTAGCAACCGTCATTCCCACCATCAACAGCAGCAACAGGCAGACCTGTACCAGTCATCCCAGGATCCGCACCCTTCCTCCGCCGCCACGCAATCTCACCCGCATTCACTGCTAGTGAAGCGGCCTACAGACCCCATCCAGACGCAGCAAGTCTCGAGGCAATCTAATTCCCAAACAACCTACACGGCGTACCATTCTGCGAACCCGTCCTCGAATACAGGATCGCGGCCACAAATAGTAGCTAGCTCCACCGCTCCCGCTGGGGTCCCGCAAGCTCCCCAACGACCGTCAATGCATCGGACCAATACTAGCGGCGGAAATACCGGCTATTCTCCTAATCCTTCAATAAGTACCAGTAGTGATGCCGGCCCAAGAAAGTACACGCACCCAGGAGCATTGACCCCTACATACCCCTCTGCGCAACATAATACATCACATTCACACGGATCTGGTCATTTGGGGATAGGCTTATCGGGACTGAGCGGAAGCTCAAACTCAATGCGTGATCGAGAAGAACCCGTGGCCAGTGTGGGAGCGGTGGGACCTGGTCGGTGGATGTCTCCTTATGGTCTATATGCTATCGATTGGTGCAAGTGGAATCCATCAAGCAGCGGAGGCAGTGGTCGTATAGCCGTCGGAAGTTACGCAGAAGATAGTCACAACTACGTTGGTCGCTCTGAAGTTCTAATATCACGGGTTCTCTAACTTGTTTGTGTAGATCCAAGTTCTCGATACCCGACCTGGCCCACCCGACGCCCAAGGTGCACCCACTCTCGAGTTCACAAAGCTAGCCGAAGCAACACACACCTATCCAATCACTCGAGTACTCTGGGAACCGCCATCTACAAAGCCATTAACTGACCTCCTTGCTACCTCGGGCGATCATCTAAGACTTTGGTCTTTACCTTCACCTTCCTCCGCACCCTCTCCCAGCACCTCCATTACATCTCGCGCCTACCAGCAACCAGTACAAAAGCTCACACCACTAGCACTCCTCTCCAACTCAAAATCTACAGATTTCACAGCTCCCTTGACATCACTAGACTGGAACCAGGTTTCGCCGTCCCTTATCATCACATCCTCAATTGATACGACATGCACAATATGGGATATTCCTACCCTTACCGCGAAAACTCAGCTCATTGCACACGATAAGGAAGTATTTGACGTCCGGTTCATGTCGAATTCCCTCGACGTCTTTGCTTCTTGTGGCGCGGATGGAAGCGTGAGGATGTTTGATCTTCGTAGCCTGGAGCACTCAACAATTATCTACGAACCGGGAGGGAACAAGTCATCATCCTCTAGCACCACGGGAGGAGGAGATACCCGCGAATCATCGGGGGGGTCGCCAGTTAATTCCGCGCCGCCAGCCTTACTGCGGTTAGCTGCATCGCCGCATGATCAACATCTCATCGCTACCTTTTGCACCGATTCCCCAGTCGTAAGGATCCTCGATGTTAGACAACCAGGACAGGCGCTCGTGGAACTGAAGGGACACGCCGCAAATGTCAACTGCTGCGAATGGAACCCGGGTAGACGAGGTATGTTGGCCGCTGGAGGCGACGACTGCGAAGTACTTGTATGGGATGTCTTTGGCGCGAGTGGAAGCAACCCCATCACAGGCAACATCAAGACGGAGAAAGGAGTAGAACAGGAGAGGAATCCAGTCGCGTGGTGGAGCTGCGAGGTGGAGGTTAATAATTTGAGTTGGAGTCCGGCGGTGGGGAAGAATGGGAGTGACTGGATTGGGATTGTTGGGGGGAGAGGTGTGTGGGGATTGGGTGTGTGATCTTTTTTTGTTGCTTTAAATTGGGTATTTTGTGTACAAGAAGGTGATCAAGACGTACTGTGGGGACTTATGTTTATTGACAAACTTGGCTTTTATGATGTTATGAAGGGATTGTTTTGTGTGTGGTATATCTGTTGAGCCTGTTTTTTTCTTTTTCTTTTCTTTGCCCCCCTTGAAAGCTATCTACCAATTTCATCATGCTCTCGATAGCTGGATTCGTTACTACTGGATAGAGGGGTGTCGGGATATGAATGGAGTTTTCTTTGAATGATCGGGTACGAAGAGGTGAGATCTTGTGAATTGGTAGTATCATTTGTAGAATAGACAGTGTCATACCGATCTGGGAATCAAGTCAGGATGTCCGAGTGGTTAAGGAGTGAGACTTGAATTGCCTCGCGCATCGAAATCTCATGGGTTCGCCCGCGCAGGTTCGAACCCTGTTCCTGACGATTATCTTTTGCTCTTTTGCAGGTAATGGCCAAGCTGTACACACTAGCAATTCATTTTCTATTGCTTTGACATTGCAAGGGATAACTGCGTGAGTTGGTTTATATCGTCCCACGGTCAAAATGGGTTCTGCTTTATTTTATCCGTTTTACTCTGATGAAGAAACGCAGAGAGAGCTCTGGCAAATAAATGTCCATTGCACCTCTGCGCATGCACCCAGTAAACCCATCTCGGTTTTGGATGAAGTGGCATGATATAAACGCCAACGAAAACTCAAGCTACATACCATATACGTAAGATAAGGATCAAGAACGCACTCACTACAAGGAACACGTTTTGCTGGATAACGCTTGATCCATCCCGTGTCACGGAGCTCCGAGATATTTCAACCTTAAAGCATTGTGATCCATTTGTTTATGACGTTGAGGTGGGAGGTGGTGTATGTAGAGTACTCTCCAAACAAGGCTCACCACAATCAGAATTGAATGCCCGTATATATTCACCAGCAAGCTGACAAAGATACAGCTTTCACTTTTCATACCCGTCATGAACATGAAGCACCAATAGAAATTGAGGTTGTAATTTTCTCCCCCATGGATAGATTTAAATGCTCAAATACAAAAAAATTAGCAAACTGAGAAAAAAAAAACTCCATGTAACATATGCACCATGTCTAAAGTACCTGCTTGGTCAATAGGTATCATTCATCGACGGTTCAAAAACTACATCAACACCGAAATACCACCGGCACCCCTTTATCGAGAACTCCACAACACTCGAATTCCCCCCCCCCCCCCCCCCCCCCCCCGAGTGACACCCCATGTCCCACTACTTCCCGATTCCGAAAGCCGCGACCTCCATCGATCGCTAGGCCCATCACCATGATCGAACTAAAAAAAACCAAACTAACAAAAGAAAAAAGCTTAATTAGCTGTTAGTTGGATGAGCATCCACCCATCAAATGCAGGTTCGCAAAACCCAAACCGAAAAAAAAAAAAAAAAACTTGTAGTTGCTCACCATCTGGCGTTTTTTTTCACGTGGGCTCGGCTCGGCTCAGCTTTATACATATATGTATGGGCAGGAAAAGTTATTATTTCTATTACTACACTGCGCTGCTCTGCATTCATGTAATCTCCAGACCGACCAGCGGGACATCAGACTCTTTCTCACCTCATCTGGCCTCCCTAGTTTGCAGCCGCAATGGAGCGCAAAACACAGCCTTATCTTTTTTGTTCTTTCTGTGGTAACTTCCAAGATAGTGGACGTCTAGCCGACTGGATTGGATGGGTGAAACATAACGCAACGGCAACGGTTCCCCAGTTGTTTCACATGGATCACACATGCTGCAGGTTCGTGCACAGACGGGAACAAACATAACGATCAGAATCAGAGACAACGGGATGGAACGTCGGCAGGTTTTGTTTTGTTTGTTTGTTTGCTTCAATTCGTATGTATTCGCAAGGTAAAAAAAAAAAAAACTGCTTCTTTCAAAAGCTTCAGTCATAAAAAACCACCGTCACAGTAAAAATAATAATCAAAAGCACAGATGACTCAATGAATAAAGTAAAAAAACTCTCCTCCCACCAATTATTGAGCCAGGAATATGCGCAAGAACAGGAATGAAAGATGTACAAGCAATTCAGTGAACGAACGGTATGATATGTAAAGAGGCGAGAGGGGAAGCTAAGGAAACAAGAAAAAGAAGCGACGACAAACAACTAATTCATGTGCACTAGGAAATGAAAGTAATTGCCCCATCATGACAAAGGTGTTACGCTCTGCCAATAGGAAACTATACTAGGCTATGTACGCCCCTACAACTCCATTCCCATGAAAAGCCACTTTTCACTGGTGATGTCGTCGTCGGAGAAAATGCTGGAAGAAGTGCTCACAGATGAGAAACTCCCACATCTGGCAGATGGTCCAGCGCTCTTGGGGATATCAGTATACACCCAGTGGGCCAGAGTTACTAGCTCAAAGCCCACCCAGCCTAGATCGCGGACAAGGCCGTCTGCGGTATAATTATTAGCTATTGTCGATTAAGTCAATTTCGTATGTAACTTACGAAGTCCTTCTGCGTTCCGCTCAAGGCAAATGACTAGGCGATCGCAGGCAAAGCATTCAGTTGCCAATTCGATAAGAGCCATAAGCCTGCAAGTTGCCGTTGATAAGTTTTTCTGTTCGCATAATTGCAGGGGAGAATAACATACCCGTGCTTCAACTGAGTATCCGCTACGTGTTCAAAGAATAGGAACAAAGTCTTTTCAACCCTCCCTCGAGGAGCCTCCTTATCCGCAATGAACCCCCTAAAGCTAGTGCCACCAACGTAGTCCCAAACCTCAATAAACCTCATTTCATCTTCATTAAAAGAGCGACTGTTGTTGTTGTTGTTGTTGTTGCTATTGTTGCTGATGTTGTCGTATTCGTCGTCTTCGGAATCATCGCTCTCGTAAAAAATGCTATTATTTTCTCTTTTATTATTGCTTCTTTTATTGTAAATCGAGCTTATCGGACGGGTGATAGTCGACGAATCTGTCCTTCCACCTAGGAAGATCCGCTTCATATCCCCACAAAGCAGTCTCTCACACTCCTTTGCGATAGTTCTCGACGCCCCCTTCGTGTTGGAGCTTGCAGCAGTCGGCGAGCGTGTGCTGCCAGAGCCGTTACTCCTCGAAGGGGGACTTTTGGGGTATCCTGAGGGGGCCTCAGGAGCGCCACTGTGCCCCTAGTTATACGCGATAATATGTTAGTTTATCTTTATCGTATGGCTTATCGCGTATCAAATGCGGGATGTGGGGGGATGGAATTCAACGAAAGATGAATCAAAACAACTAACCGTTGGCGCCGGTACTGCAGTAATGGAACCCTTGAACCACAGTCGAAGAACTCGAGGTAGCGTAGCAGCTCGCGAGGATAGGAGAGCTCTTGGGAGCAGCAGAGGAAGAAGATCGGTTCATAGACTGATGGTTTCCGAAATTACTGGAATTATTATTGCGTTTACTACTACTGAACATCGCCATAGCCGTTATTTTCCAGGGTTGCTGTTTTTAAAAAACGTGGAGGGTTTCTAAGAGGCGGAATTGAAAGCTGAAAGCTTGAGAGAGGAAGAGCTGTAGCAGTGGTGGTGTCGTGTGTTGGAGTTGTGAAGAGGAGCGGTCGGCAGGTAAGAAGCGAAAGCTGGGGATCACCATTCGGAAAGGCGGGAGTGGCGGGTTGATAAGTAAAAAGTTTTGTGGCCCACGCACCCGAGGAGCACCCAAGCTTTTTTTCACTTTCTATTTTTCCAGCAATCCCCAGAAACCTTTTCTTTCACACCGCCGTCGTGCGAGTGTTCGCATCAGAATACTTAATGCAGCCGATAATCAACCCCCCTCCCAATGGATAAATCTCAACCCACGACAACCAACCCCCTATCAATGCATCCATTATTCCTTCAAGCAAACAGAAAAAAGAACGCGCTTTTAAGGAGGCAAAGAAGTGCGGAGAAGCCTTGCATCTGGACCAATTGCAACCGTTAAGGCTTCTATGGATCTATTCGTAATATGGGGAATGCGGAGAAACAGGCCATTGTTTACACCCCCCTCCTCATTGGAGGGAGGGGGGGGGGGGGAACGGTGCAATCAACTAACCACTTTTGGTGACGTGCTTTGCCGCTTTTTACGCATACACGTTGCTGCGATAGATATGATCCCGACCCGAGAAACATTGTGATAATTGCCTAGGTGTTTGGGGATATTCCAAATAGAGCAATGGATCGCAAGGACAACTTTGAATATGAGGGTTTAGAATACAAAAATTGCCTTTCATCAACGGGATGATGCTTTTTTTTTTTGAACGATCGCAAACCATTGAGTGTCGCGTGAACGACGTCATTGGAAAGCTTTGGAAATCCACCAAATATCACATCAGGGAAAACCAAACCCAACCAACAAGAAAACTGACGATATCTTGAACACATATAAAGATGCCTCTGTTACTCTGCCATTAATATTATACTTTTGTCCGACAGATTTCCTTGTTTTCAACCAAAGTAAAACTTTCCACCCCTCACCATATCAATGTCCGGCATTACAGACCTCAGAACCACCAGCAGCAATCAAACCAGCGTCGGTGCAAGACACGATACCGGTTTCCCCGAACCCTTCTCACAGTTCGTGCCTCCCCCTCCCCTCTTCCCTCATCTCAATTTACCCAATTCTCCAGTGATCGCAACACAACTTTACCACACCCGGAGGCGGCTACAAGACCCCATGAAGAGCTTCCAGAGTCCATACTTGAGGCCTCAAAGCGACACCGAGTATCACGGATGATCCCTGGAAAACACCGCAAGTTGCACAAAGACGTGGAGCAGGAGATGTATAGTGAGCTTGAAACCGTGGACGCCGAGAATGCAGACGGGAGCGGGAACCGGTCTGACACCAGCGATGATAATAAACATCACGAAGGGAAGGTGAAGAGGGCTCTTCATAAGTTGAGTTGTGGGACTGTATAAATCAGGGGAAGGGCCGGGATTGTACTCTTTTTATTTTTATTTTGAGGGAGAAAGCTGGGATGTTAAGGTGTCTTTGTTATGATGTTTATGGTTGTTGGTTGATATCTTGTTCCGAGATTTGGCAAAGGAAGGGCTTCTAAAGATGCATTGTAATCATAATAAGGAAAATTTCTCTCACATAAATCTATTAGAATGATCATGGTTGTTGCGCTTTCGTTGGCTAGAGTTTCACCTCGCTCGATGAAACGCCGAGTGAAAAAAATAACGTCTGGTAAATACGAGCAATGGTTGTGTGGATGTATCAAAACTTTTGAATTCACCGTAACATCGTACACTCTAGACCTATACTCGTTGACCTAATATAACTATACGTGTCTTCGTTTCTATCACTGGATATATATCTAATCATCAAAGGTAATCTTCGTTGCAATTTTGGTGCTGTCCCAATCATCAGCATAAATTCGGTCATCCAAAGCATTAACAGAGTGGACAAACCTGTCTGTCTCCTT